TTATAGCCTGGACAATTTGAAGAGCAGTCGAAAATTCTCTTACTAAAAAAATTCAAACCTTCCAATCAATAATTCTAGGAACCATTCACGAAGCTTATCTCTGCGTGTATCTTATAACGCGTCATACATACTGCCCTCAAAGTTCCAAAAGTATAATCGACAATTTCATAAAAAAAAAAATTATCCAAGACATTACAATATAACCTTGGGAATAATAAAATCCTCTCATATTCTATCTCAATGAAACAAAAGAAATTCTTTGGTTCATCCAGCCTTAAACGCAACTGATGTAGAGATCTCCTAAATCTAATACAAAATTAAAACTAGCATGATTCGTATTTTGCCTACTCTCACATTATTCAAAATAATGTAATTATTCCAAAGCTGGGCAAATGAATGATTTATATTAATTTCATGAAGTTACACCATATAAGGTGAAATTAACTGTTTAGTTAAAAACTTATACTATATTAACGAATTAACTCATGTGAAGTTAATTTTAATGAAAATAACTTTTACTTATTAGCCAGTTAATGCTCAGCCTAAGTTTAAAGATACTTATATAAACAACCCGGATATTAGAAAATGTTTTAAACATATTTTAAGGTAAATGTTGAATAAAATGTTATATAAATACTTTTAATTACATGCCAATATATTTCAATAACTTCTTAACAACATCTAGAGAATAACGTGTTATCTAGTGAATAACGTTTTTAAAACATTAAAACCCTGGAAAAAAACTGTTTTGAAAATGCCAATAAAGTCAATAAACTGACTTGAAAAGTCGTCAAACAGTTTTTTTTACCACTTTTGGAAAACTTTACATTTTTATTTTTGCCTCCTGATTGAGTGAATGTCTATGAGCAAGCCACTTTTTTTCATTAACGAACTTATAAGTTTGACTTGTGTTTACAAAAAAATAGAAGTTGATTATTTTTAGTTAACTGAAGCTTTTGAAATTCAACAGGAATTTGTGTATACTTAATAATATTATGCTTATGATCTCAAAATTGATCTATCAAGATAATGGTTACTTTTTGAACATCTATATTATCACCACATTTAACGGGTTAAGCATACACGCGTGCTGTGAAATCGCCTATACAAAACGCCGTTTAATTATTTTAATCCTACAGCGCGGTAAAATGTACAGCGCTATTATATTGTATTTTTTTCATCAGTTATTCACTAGTACTTTTAAGGAAACTCATTTATTAGTTCCACTTTAGCGACCTACATGAAACACCAGGCATATAGGCCTCAGTTTTTTTTTTAGACTTTTTGAACACGATCGAAATGTGGGTTGAAATTAAAACCAACAAAAGAGTGTGCATTGTATTGTTTCTCATTACGGCAGAATAGAATATTATACGGTTAAGAACATTCTGTACTCTCTTTTTAATGAAAAAGATCTAGACGTGCAACGCAACGATCTGAAACAAACTAATTGATATTAAGAATAATAATAATAATAAGAATTATAATAATTGTATAAGCCCAAATTCTCAGTGTCGACAAACGCTGCGACAAACAACGAGTGGCAAAGCTATATTTTATTGCTCAAGTATACAATAATGTTTTGTTTATTGTTCTGGCCATACACCTTAAATTATAAGTGTTTCCAAGAATTTCACAATAACGAAAAATAAAAGTTTTAACTGTGTTATAAGTAATTTAATTGTTATTTATTTTGTTTTTAAACAGTTAATTGTATCTAATTCTCGACAAACGAATATTTTGTCGACTTGTAATGTATTCAATTAATAATTTTTCAACGCTTTATGTGTTCGAATATAGCTACGTTAAAGTATTCAGACAAAATTATTCTTGACTTCAGTGGCGCAGTTTAGTTTTTTATCATTTCGCGTGGAACTTGATCCAACCGTACTAGTAGTTATCTGCGAATTCGGTATGTAGTGTATTGTACATCCGAAGTAAGCATCTGACATACCATCACGACGCAGACACCTATTAATTTACAAGGAACAAAACAAGTTGCTCAAAGAAGATTAATATAATGACACAGGTATACTTAGGGTTTCAGTAAATAATTACACTGAAAGGACATTGAGAGGACAAGAGGACAAAAAAAAAACATAAAACTTAGAAGTAGCTACTAGTCTTAAAGTTAGAGGGGAATTTTCTTAAAAACCTTTTCTGTTTATTCAACTGCAAAGACGTATAATTATTTTTCTTCGTAATATTTATTTTTCTGTAAATTTTTAATGGAACAAAACAACTTAATTGATTCGTATACCAAGTTAGTAAATTATTTTAATTATTCGTTAATTGGAAACAAAGTCATATCAAATTTATGATTATGATAGAATTTTTTATTAAAAATATCAACTCTTAAAATCATACTCTGTTGTGGATTTATTTCTAAGTTGTTATTATTTTATTATTGTAATTGTCGAACAAATAAAATATTTGTAAAAAAAAATAATATTTATTATTATGTTCTATTATGAGTTGTCCAATTTTATCATAAAAAATCATACTATTTTAATAGGTATGCTAATATATTTTATTAATTTAACAAAAGGTTGTTTAAAGATACTGCGTTAGTTTATTTCAGTACCTAGTTTATCTTTTTTTTTTTACTGTAATGTTTATGAAAAAAAGGTTAATGGGTTGTATTATGTCATTTTAGAAAACAGCAGTAATTACTACTATGTCAACTATATGGCCATGTCGTCAGCATTGTAGTTAGGCTTGAAAATGTTAATAAATAAAATACAGTACGTTCACTATTATTTCAATTACATGTCTCGTTATGACACTATTTTAAAAATCATCTCTCAGCTATGTAATTTATACCTCTAAATATTTTTTATATATATATATGCGTTTGTAGCCATCGTCGGATACAGTTGTTTTAAACTGGCGATGACGCAGCCATTTATACAAAATTGCCATTTATCTCGCGTTTAGACGCCCACAATACATTTACAAAATGTTTTGAGTTTTGGTGTCTGCTAACTTTACAAGTGGTCAAAATAAATGTTTATGGCTTACACAGTGTGTCCTGGCAACCCTCAATAATATAAAATAGTAGTGACCTAAAAATGGTAGTATGTTGTTGATTTAGGATTAGTATTATTTCTGGGTAAGAACTTTGCAGACAAATAAATCGAGTTTCCCATATGATTGTTTACTTTGAACTAAAAATATTTAACACACATATTAAAAAATGTATATGTTGTACAACGTTTTGGCTGTTCGATGCAACTAATAACAGTAAGTTAGTATTACAACAAGTTTTAAGACATTAAGTTGTAAACGTCTTTATTGTTTTGCCAATTTTTAACAATTTTTAGGGATAATATTAATAGTAAATTGTGATTACCTAGTTTATTACTCCTGCAAAAGGTCAAAGATGTAACGGAACGTATTTATATAATAAAGGGATGTGGTCCTTATTTTGGAATTATTGGTCATATCATTTCTAAGACCTAAGTAAACAAAAATGAGTTCCATATTTTATTATCTAAATGAAAAATAACCTTTTATTCAATAATTCATTATTCGATTATTTATTTATTATTCGGTTTTTTTTTGTTTGAAATTATTCATTATTTCTTTGTAGATATACTATTTGCTTGAATGTCCAAATATTATTATTTAAAATTGTCTGAATTCAAAAATTGGTTTTTAAATACATTTAATTTATAATAAAATTAAAAAAAAAACCTACCTAGGTACAATTTTAAGTTTTTTGTGGTGTACATTTTTTATTAATAAATAAAAACATTTTATTTTTAATTCATTAAAAAATTAAAATAATAATTTTAAATTAATAAGATAGTTCGTTTTTTACGAATAATACATTTTTAGAAAACGTAACTCTCCAAAAATGTTGGGCTATTTGTGCCTATCATAATAAATTAACAAAATATATAAAATTATGGATGCGTTAAAACTTTTATTGATTAAATAATTTATTATGTAGGGGCATGGTGGACACCTCAGCTGGACTGTTAGTATAGTCATGACGGTGGAACAGTGACCATCGGTCCGAATATGGATTCTGTGTTGAGTTTGAATTGAACCTGAATTATGTTAACTTAGAATGATGTTAAATACATTTATTTAGCAAACATTGAATCTGCTGTACCGTGATTGGTATTTTTAGTTTGGATAATAAGAACCGAAAATTAAAGGTAATTTGTACTCTCATTCATATGTTTTTTATGTTTTAACGAACATTTTAAATAGTGCTGTTTTGAAGATTGAAAAAATAGCAGCGCCAAAGGGAAAATTATTTTTAAAACAATATATTGAGTGTACATAATATTAAACAATTAATTGATGGTATTAAGTGTATTGTATTTTACACATCAAAATCTAAATACGACATAGATTATGTTGAAATAAATTTAATTCATATTATAACGATAAAACAGATAAACTATCATTACAATATAAACAATACGGGTTTTTTTTTAACAAAGTATTGTATTTTTTTGTATCAAAAATATATTTTTAAATACTGTCCGTGCCCGTGTATTGATTGGCATATGATTTGACTAGCATTTGTGGTTTAATACCTACTCGACGAATGAGTTAATGATAGTTCAACCGAGATTGCATCGTCGCCAACGGGTACCGCCGTTTTAGTGGATACACCCAATATCCAAATGGTACACTATAATAGCAGTGATGTACAATGTGAAGTATTATCATAATGTATTGCGCTTATCTGTGTGCATTGTGACACTGTTACCCAATTTGGTGTATGTCGGGGTTGGAGTTGCACTACCGCCGGACCGTGGTCGGTTAACGTCACCCTGGTTCGGGTAGGTCGTGTGGATATCGTCGTCGTCGTCGGCGGGGGTGTATTTTAAGGGCTATCAGGGAAGAAGAAAAAAAGAATTTAGCCGGCACCTCGCTGGAGATAAAAGACACGGCCACCGAGCAGAGCGCTTTTACACAGCCCCCCGGAGAGGCGGGATCGGCCGAAGGGCGCCACCGTGGACCAGTCGGTGGTCGGATGACAACGCGCTGCATTGCCTTTCGCTCGGCGTGTACGTCCGATTGTACTTACGCATACCTCGTGGCGTGCGAGTAGTTTTTGGAAATTTTGTTTTTTTTTTTGAAACATTACCGCGGTCGTTAAAAAAAAAAAAACACTACAGAAGTGTGCACGTACGGTCGAGACCCAATCGTCGCGTCGACTTCGCTCACAAACTGTCCGGAATCGAGCAAACCTATCCTAGCACAGAAACCGGAAAATATCTTATCAGGTGAACCATATTATATAATTATTAACCCTTTTTCTTCGAATTCGTAGTATCCGTTTCACCCCCGCCGTCGAAATACCGACCATTGTGATTAGTATCTTCTTCATTGTATTAGGTACCGCATCGATCGTCATCGTTAAATTATTTTTTATCACGGTGATCAAATGATTTATTCGTGTCTACCTGAAAATACAACTAACGATTTTTGTTGACATTGGCACAAGACGAGCTTTCCGAAAAATAGGCAAAACAGTTACAAGTTCGTTTGCAAACACAGTTAATCTTTAGGTACCTATAGCTTTACCGTTTGCAGTTAAACAATATTTAACGTTTTAGGAGTAAAAGTGGTGGAAATGTATTTTTTATTTAATTCCAATTTTTTAACGTCCAGTCTGAAAATAAGGCTGAAATCTAATGTATACCTACATAATTACAATTTTTCTAAAATTTGCTTTTTATTTTCATTAGTTGTTTCACATGTCTGCGACCTAAAGACTCGCAATTAACGACACTGAAAGTGACGTTATTATTTTCGGTCATTAAGACCTGTGACCTCACCGTGTGTTTTATTTTATGGTTTGGTGTTTAACATAAATTAAATTTAATGCAAATGTTTGTGCGTTTAACTTACCTCTCCAAATAAAACTGTTTATTTTTTAAGAAATAAGTGTACGTCTTATTGTTAACAACGCGCTAGTGTGAAAAACGTTTTATTGGTAAAAGCGAGATTGACTTTTTTTTATAGTAAAGGGTCAGAATTATGTAAACAAAATATTATTTGTACAACGCATCGATTGGCTGGCACTGGTGGAATTTTAGAGACCTAAATGTAACTGGAATCCTATAAAGAAACGATAATATTTATCTATAAAATTTGTGTTCATTTAAATATAAAATTAACCAGTAACGCTTCGCTTGCATTGTACCTAATGGTTTTGTAGCGTATAAATAGTTTTTTATACCAATTTGAAAAATAATACTAAAAAAAAAAATCAATTAAAATAACATTAATTATGGCTATTCTTGCCGGTTGATGTATATAAAAAGACACAGATCAAAAAGACCAGACGCTTGTATGTAAAATATAGGTACTAGATTAGGGTGTGCTAACCCTATAGTAATAAAGACTTTTTATTTATTTACCAAAACTAAAAGTTTGTAATGAATTTATGTCCTAACGCTATTAAAAAGTTAAAAAAAAAAAAAATGTTTTTTGTAGTCATTTTGAGGTTTAATGGTAAACATTTATGTTTCTTGGCTGGCGTTGATTACACAGCCCTACATAAACATGGATATATAGGTAACGTTCCACATCAAAGGAATGTCGTAATTCTGCCTATGAACTTTAAAATTTAACACAGATTAGACTGTAATTCACTAAAGGCTTATGAACCAAACTAACTTCTGTCGTTAAAAATAATATCTTGTACATACTTAAGCAGAAAATATTGACTATGACGACGAAACTTCAATAAACAATTTTCTAATCAGTTTCCGAGTTTATATTAAACTTTTAATATTCTTCTTTGATCATAAAATGATAAAAAAATATTTTGACATATTATATATATATACAATGTTGGCTGAATTAATATCAATTTAATACCGTTTGCTGTAACATTATAAAAACACATTTTTTTAATATGTAAAGCTAGACGTTTTACTATGATGAGTATTTTTGTGAAATCAAATAATATCTAATACCTAGTTGTTTTACCAGGCATTAAAAATCATGTTTTAAATTTTACCATAAGGTAACTGACACAGTTTAATACTTGAATGTTTATGTAGCTGCGAAGAGTGTATTGCGGTACACAATTTGTTGACTTACTAGGTTAGATATAAAATATATAAAATCAACAGTATGAGGTAATATGTGTGGTGGACGCTAATAGGAAAGAATAGGTTGAGATGAACCGGGCATTTCGAATTAAGTGTAGTAAAACGAAAGGAGAAACAGGTATTAGTGTAGACGAAGAAGATTTCTATGGTCGACAATTAAGGATAGACTAATAAGACAAGTGGTGTAAAACACAAAAAATGGCGATGGTCGAGAAGTACGGAAGGACAATGTTTGGGTAACCCACTTGTATTGAAAAAGTCGACGAAAAATATTTTTAAAACACTTATTTTTCTTTAGTTTAATCTAGTTACCTACAAAAAACACATAATGGACTAATTCTATCAAGGGTGGAGATTGGAAGTTTGAAGTTTATATTACATTTTCGAACTTCAACGCTATAAATTGCGACCAATGTGCTTTTGCTGATGGCACGTTCTCCCGTAACAAACTTTATTGTTTACGTGAGATCGACGACAGACAAGATTTATGATATCAAGTTCTACACGTAGGTGTGTATATATATATATATGGGTTTGTCTGTTTTCAAAGGTATTTTTGAACGTGACAAATTAACGTATCCGTTTTTATAGGCTTATTCGTCGTGTGGGCTTTCAAAGCTCAAATTTATTATTATATTTTTGTTCGCCAAACTCAATTTGTCCGGAATATTTTTAGGAAGTATTTAGAAGTCCGTCCCATTGTTGGAGCAAGGTTTTTGTGCTAACTGGGTCTGTTTTCGGATGAAATTTATTGCCGTTTCCAACCGAGTTCATTACCGATTGCGTCGTATCGACGTTAGATTATATTGTGGCGTCGCCGCCGGACGGACTATCGAAAGGCCGACTTTGTTTTATTAGGTAATAATTTTTTTAACGAGCTATATAATGTTTGAGAAAGAACGGGACGACTGTATACTCATCGTTGTGGCCGATCTGTTTCATGAAAACATTATATATAAATTGTATATCGTTCAGCAAGTCATGATTTTCGGTTCAAAATAAAGGCAAACCGCACAATGTCATAATTTCCATCGGACTAAGAAAAAACACAGTTTATTGTACATATTACATCTGTAACTTATAAGTGTATATTTGTTGTGTGATAATAGTATCAGTAACAATTATTTTATTCTGTATGTTGTAATCATTGATAATACATGGATTATTACCATTCATAAGTATGGATATGGTTTCTTAGCAAAACGGTAGTCAACATATTTGGTTGGAGAAAAGTGATATTTTTACATGAATTCCCTCAAACGTTTGAATTTACTTACAATGAATAATGCTTTTGAAATTACTTTTTTTTACCAACTTTTTAAATCGTACTTTGGTAAGTCACAAATTTCAGTCATAGTCAACGAAAGAGGAATGAAGGGGATGAGATTATACAACTGAATGTACTTTATTAAAAAATATAATGTAGACAGAAATTGTGAATAATTTAAAAGTTAGAACTTACTATTAAGTTGAATTGTATTATAAAAACGATCGTGAAATTATATTATGTATATATTTTATGCATAATACATACAGACGTTCCCCAGACTCTGAAAATAACCAACATATTTTTTGGTTGAAAAAACTATACTACCAAAACGACTTTAGAAGCCTTTAGCCGTTTTGAACATAGTGCAACGTCGTTAATTCCACCTGTTCTTGCGTTTTTTTTTTTTTTGGTTGTTAAACAAAAAATTAACATATTTTAACGGTTATCGTTAAGCCGAGTTGTCACCTTAAAATTCTGAACAAATTAAGAACTTATATTTATGCACAAATGGTACCAGTAAAACATCATACGCGTTTAAAAACCTGAGAAATTACTAATTTAGCAGCTGGAAAATGAGCCCAAATGGATGTAGTTTTTTAAATTTTGAATTGTCATATATTTTATGTATAAGTTTCCATGGCCAACCTAAAAAGTACTATTATTTTAATTTTTTTTTTTTTAATTTAATAATTAGCCCTTGCCAAGTAAAGGGTTAAATGTTAACACAGTTTGTTTTAGAGATTTCCTTTTGTTTTTCTATTAGGTATGAAACGATACCTATAAGACATTTTATACGCACGAGGTATTTATTTTCCTTCTTCAACTGTAGCAAACTAGTATTACTTATAAATATTTTTGCTTTTAAAATTATTGGCAATGACCAATTTACCAACGCGATAGTTGATAGGCAAATTTTGATTAATAATTTTTTTTTCTTTGTGATTTTATTTTTAACTAAAATTATAGATGAACACAAATTGAAGACTGATAAAATATTTGAATGGCTATTAGCCGTAAGAAAATTATTGAAATTTTAATCCGAAAGAAAGTAACAGTAGTCATACCTAAACCAAAACACGATTAGAATAAATAACTTTTATAATATTAATGTTAAAATTAGTTTTTTGACATTAAAATATTGAATCGCATAAAATATCATTTTAGCTTATAGTAATGCAAATGACCCGTTCATTCGAGTTTTTATAAATATTTTTTTCATAAAAGTAATGCGAATGTGTGTGTTTGCATTTGTTTTTTCAACTAAGGAGGGTCTTGGCTGGATAAGAAAAAGCCATAGACAATATTTGTATATATATAAAAAAGAGGGGACTAGAGAATTTTCATTAACGGAATCCGACACGACACCGAAGCTTCCCTTTTAATACATAATATTATACAGATGCTTTATGCTCGAGATACTTGTACACATATTATTATTATAATGAAAATGAAGATATTATGGCATGAATATGTGATAATATTATTATGCAAGGTGATTGCACGCAATATGTATAATATATTAATATTAACTGTTTATCGATTGGAATCTATACGTGTAAACCTATTCAATATGCATGTATCTAATACGCGGAGAGTATTTAGTCTCAAAACATGGTTTATATTGCACACAGGAAATTTCCAATCATACATAAGTATTAAAAACTAATTAAAGAAGCAAGCACGTCTTTTCTTATAATTGCATAATATATTATTTTAAAACTATTTATGTTTTTAATGAGCACCCAACATCGTCCTTATACATTATTACATTATTATGTCTAATACAAATATTACATTAGTGTACAACATTTTTTTTTTGAAAACTATGTTTATTAGTGTACAGATTTTTCAATATGAATAATGTATATTAAAAGCAATCGCATAAATTAAAAATAAAATAGCAAATTTCCATTTTCTTGTGGCAGCATAACGACGTTTTTACTCTGATTAGGCATAATTTTTCAAAAACGAGACAATCGAGTAGCACAGCTTTATAGACTATGAACAAATAAAAATGTTTATTATTATTTATTAATACAATATATTTGTTATTATTATGATTCTTTTTCACATTGTGATCAAGAATTACATTTAAATTTTGAACAGTTTTTTTAGGGTTCGTTTTGTTTACTAATAAGTCATGAACGATATTAACTGACTGATATCTTATACCTAATATTATTCGATGTTTGACTTGCATCACTTTTGAAACTTGCCTACACGTAAAAAAACAGTTGTTTTACTTACTTTTAAAAACAAGTTTAAATCGACTAATTTGTCCTTAGTGAATCTGAGACATAAATTATTAGCATTATTCATATTCATTGCTAACAATACCGTACGTTTACTTTCCATGTCCATTTCTGTCCAGCCTGTACTGTAGAGAGCAAATATAATAGCCTCTTTCTGAAATGTGTATTATGTAAAATAAGATTTTTAAATTTCATAAAACATATTTTTGTAAAATCTTTTAAAGAAATATTAAAAAAAAAAACTGAAAATTTAAACAAGTTACTATAATGATATTTAATATATTTATTAGATTTAAAAAATAAAAATAAAATAACAAATTTAAGTCAGATAAACAGGATTATTGTATAACATAAAAATATAAAATAAAGAATTTTATATTTATGTACAACTTTTTTAAAGGTAATAATATTAATTTAAAACAAAAGCAGTATATGTTCAGTACCTCATCGTTTATAGCGGTGCATAATGAGCAAGTCATGAATAAATTGAACACAAACACTGCAAATCCAATAATCATCTTAAATGTTTGGACGGTATCAACGATTTCATTTCTGTAGTAATTCTATTAAAATTTCACAAAATTACAATTAAAAGAAAACATATACCAATTAGGATTGTGATTTTAATGAAATTTTACCAGAGCTACAACAAATAAAGTAAATACGGCATTAGCCCAAAATACAAAGAACTCCATCAAAATGAGTTTTCCAATAATCTTATAAAATGTTTCCAGCTTTCTAAAAAAATATATTTATAATGTTAACTTTGTATATTCATTTTTAATAAATATTTTATGTATAGCGACATGTGACGCGTTTCAGTCATTGCACAGCTATCGTCACAGGTCTTAACGTGACCGGAGGATAGATCTTAACATTAAACAGTTTTACTACAGTGATATTATCATTTTTAAATGTATAAAAATTTAATTCGATACTGCTACCGTTGGGTTCGAATTTCTAAGAGGTAATGCCGTTTTTGAGGACATTTCATATTTTATATTAGAATATTATATACCTCGAATCACTTACTTTATAACTTTTTGATGATCTGAAAGGATTATTTTTAAATATTTCTGAATTTTAATTGCGCGTTTACCTTCGGGACGGCCTCCAATCAAATTATAATCATTGCTCATACCTATGAGTAGTAAAAAAGAAACACTTTTAAAGACTTTAAGTTAAGTATAAAAAAAATTACCTTGTTCCTGGATATTTATGTGGTTTTGTTCAAAGTTTTCGAGCCCTTTATTAATTGTTTCTAACTGACCGACAATGGCTGTGCATAAAGATATTATCACTATATTTGACAATACTAATAACGAAGCGTACAAGAAGACGATCAACGTCTCGACTATGTAGAATATTGAGAAGTACTCGTTGTACACGTCTGTGGATACCATGAAATACAAATTGAATAAGCTAAGGCGGTAGCTGTCATAAGAGCCGTCGTGGTTTCTTATCTTGATATAGTTATCACTTATAATAAGGGGACTAACAAACCACACTACGGTCGTCATAATTAATGCGACACTTATTATATAAGTAAATCGTATGGTTCGGGTCTGCCAGACTTTCAGTATACTTTTGTCGTAAAACTTGTATGACAAAAAATCGAAACTAACCACGTGCAAACACTCCCAAATATCATCCGAGTTCTTAAATATCACCACCAATTTGTAAATGACAAAGATTATATTTTGCAGAAAAGTGTACATCCAGAAAGATTGAGTTAAGTCGTTGCTCCAATGGTACATTCCCGTCAATCCGCAGACGCATCCTGTGATTCCCATGAGTAGCATACCGAAAATGATCGGTAATTGATAAATGTTGTAACCGTAGTACTTAACGTTGTTCGGATGTAGCATTTGACATAGGCCCAAGAGTTTGGCCAGACGTACGTTAAAAACGTAGTCTTTATAATCAACGTGCCCGAGTTCCAGCATTTGACAATCAAAAATTGCAGTGAGCTGAGAACATAAATTTAGTAGTGGTACTAATCTAATAACAAAGAATATCATTCGCAGGGCTGAATACAGGCCTTAACCTAACATCGGGATCAACACTATTACACTTATCTAAAAACGTTGAGAAGTTTTAGGTTTTTAGTTTTTATCCATACAGTATTCTCAAACCTTTTGACTGTAGTATTGTTAGTATTGTTAGTACCCTTTTGTACTGCTAATGGCGCAACTTCTCTTAAAACACTCATTCATCATAAGCGTGCTCATTTAGTAATTTTCCATGCAATGTCAAACACTATGACTTCGCTACAGCACTACAGCCAATGCTTCACTAGTCACATTTATTTAATTTGTATAAACAAATAATATAAATTATAAAATATTTTTGAGCAAATAGGGGTAGAAAAAATGTATTTTGTGTTTGTTACCTGTAGCATACAAACCATATCAATTTTTTTTTTAACTGTGTTACTTATTCTAACACAATTATTAGATTTATTGTTATTAGCATTTTAAAGTCACACATTGTAAAATATTAAATAAATAAACTGTTGCAAAACTAAAAAAAAAATAAGAAAAGTAACACTGAACATATTTAAACACATTTGAAATTGTTTTTATTATTTATTGTGACAACTTCGTTAACTATGAAATAAATATTCTAAATGGATTTTATTACATAATTTTTTTTTACCAATAATTATACTTACTTACTTTAATACAACAAAGTTGTTCAGACGTTTTATTATGCACTTACAGAAATGTACTTTAGTCCCTAGAAGAAAGACAGTAACTGTACAATTTCTGAGCTAACAAAAATTCAATGAACTTAAGTCATTATAGGCCACTCATACATTTTTAATGTGTAAATGCACAAATGTCGTATTATAGCCACATTATGGTATAGAATTAAAAATGCATTGAAAATGCATACATTATCTGAATTGTTAGCATAACGTCCGTATAATTACTACCGTACTAACATCAAATATTTATTATAATTTCTTAGAAATAAAATAAAATTTGAAGAGGCCACGGACACCAATGATGTCACGAAATAAAAGTTGTACTAAATTTTAAATGAACCATTATGTGATGTGTTTTAGTATATATAATATATAATGGTTCGATCGTGCCCGGACGGTAGTTGTTCTATTTTATGCTGACTGAGAAAATAATTAGGTTAGCCGTTGCATTGCCATCAATGGACGGCAATGGAACAACGGATCACACACAAGTCGATACGAGCGGTCGACCATTAATAACGTTCCGTTCCGGCCAGCTCTCGGGTGCGGTGCTCCGGAAGGACCGGCCGGGGTGACCGCTGTATAACGGCTGTAGCATTATATATAATATAAGAAGATAAAGAACACACACGCGACATGAGCTGCGAGACGTCGAACGAGGAAGGAAAGCCGGAAACGGAGCGGAGGAGACCCCCGGTGGTGTATTTTACTCGAAGATTTCCTACATCACCTGCACCTGGGTTATGGATTTCGCTTCCGACTGTCTTATTATTATTGTTGTTAATTTTCTATATTTTATTTTGCTCGCGACCACTTCACATATCTGCCGCACACGTGTGTGATTTATATATATATATATATATTTCTGTGTGATTGAGTTTGTGTTGTTGTTGTTATTATATCGTACATGAGTTATAGGATCCGTGTCGGCCGGACGTATGAATTATGTGCGAGTATCGGGGGGATGAAAGGGGAAAAAAGAGGCGATTTCGTGTGCGCGTTCGGCCCAAATCTCCACCGACCAGCCCTGGTGCCCGGGTCGGGGAAAGCACATAAATACGTTATTTGTATCCCGGGTGACATTGGCGTGAAGGCCTCTCTTGTATAATACCAACACACACGACCTCCGGTGTGATAAATGACCGACGGTGTACGTCCCCATAGATGTCGTGTTCATCTTTCGGGACCCGCGGCTCTTGACCTATTCGTTTGACGATAATAATAACGTAATACAAATAACGACATATTATACAATATACATGTATAGGGTGATCCATCTGACGTATAAGACACTCAGTTTCTCGGTACATACATCACTAGGTATATTTTTCAATACTTACAAAAGCTTACGTTCGTCCCTTATAAGTAGTATGGACTTTGTGGGGACATATGTTTTTAACGTTTTTTTTGTCTACAAATTTATAAAATTAAAAACATACGTTCCCATTTGAAAAAAAAACAAAGTCCATACTTCTTTTACGTATAAGGGATCAAGGTGAAAACTTTCTAAGTGTTGAAAAATATAGTCAAATATATGTACCCAAGAGTAATGAGAAAACGAGGGTCTTACATCAGATGGATCGCCTTGTATATATGCCGGGGTTCCCGAGGGAAAGGACGTTTTAATTCTCTGGACGGCTACAAAGCCGGCCAGGACGACTCGTTTTCTGTAAAAGATCCTGTCCCTGATCGGTTTCCTAAGTACGGCGGTATATGGTTCGCTTGTTCACGTTTTTTTCTTATAATTTGAATAAACATAAAACAAATATATTTCCACAATTTCGGTTCTCCTATAGTTCATTATCGTGCGCGTTACTCTTATTCGAAACGGAAATACACAACGTTGTGTTTTAGTTTTCAAACAGGTAGGTTTAATTATTTATGACCTAAGTATTTGCGACCCGAAATTGTCATTTTATCGTTAAGATACTCGAGTGTACTGATTATTTTTTTCGAAATTATCAGACGGGATAGCATCGGCGGACATTTAGAGCTCGGAGTGCTGTAAAAAAAACCTTAAAACTATAAGTCAGTGCTGTTCGAAATACCTACATTTTAGGTTCTTTTATTTTAGCTAAAGACGTGTCGAATATGAGACCAACACGATCATAATCTAAAGTTACAGTGATTCGAATGTGACTATAGTCCCTATACATTTCCACGGATGTCTGCGGTTGGGATTGATGAAGTCAATTGACATTGACTTCCAGACAACAAACGTTTGATCTGTATATCGTCAAACAACGTATACGAATAATAATTGTAAGCAACATGAACAAAATTGTCTGTACCATAATCGATTGTTATATGTTAATCTTTTAAGAAAACAGAAAAATGTCGTTTGCTCTTCACGAATTATGGCAGTTTGTCGGCTCTCTGTGCATGCCTCGGATTTTCTTTGGCACCCCTGCGGTCTCCTTTAGGACATGCACTGTTCTTTTGAACGGTTTACAGCATACGTGTACTCTGTCTGTGTCTGTTGTACACCGAGTCCTACGCGATGCTGTACAATTCAATTACAACAGCACCGTGTACGCATAGTTATAATAAGAAGACAGGGCATTGGGGAGCGAAACCATTGTGTTAGGAACCTCGTTTGTTTTTGGAATTATTGTGTTGTCGTCGTGTGGGTGTGTTTTAATCGACAACGTCGGATCAGACCGGAGATAAGATTTCACAGAACGGTCGCTCGCTTTGGATTACTGGAGAATATTGTTTTCGGCCTTACGTTACACGTGCTAATTGGGTTTTAGGAAAGCCTCCCGTACGGCGGTCATACGATGATGGAGAAAACGGTCGCTGACATTTAGTATTATTATTGTTATTATACTTGTTTCGCGCGCGTTTATTGCGTTCGAATAGCGGTTTTCCACGCCAACGCCGTGTTCGTTTCGGGCGATAAATTTTCCTCGTTATCGCCATTAATACCCCGCACATTAATATTGAACACAAACGTGGAAATTTAATAACCTTAAAATGTTTTTCGTGCCCTTCGAACACCACCGGGCTGCACCGCACTACTCAACTTATTGGTAAACGGATCTCTAAGTCTCACCCGATCTCTCCTAAGCATGTCAAGTACAATGTATGTATGGAGTCCTCCGACTGTAAATGAATTAAAATTTAGGACTAAGCTACCAAGTTTTTAAATCGAGTCTCATGCGTGTATCCGGTGTCTACTCCAGATAGGTAATCAATCATATTAAAATAGTGTACACAAGCCATACGCCAATGATAAACTGGACAGGTTACATATATATTTTAAAAAAATAATAACAATATAATATGGCCTACGACGAGACTATGACCGGCAAGTTTTTTTTCGCTCCGGTCTATGTTGTGCGCTACTGTTTATTATTATATATAATAACGTTTTATCTTACTTTACTTTTGGCTGTGCTCTCGTATTGTCAAAACTATTTTAAAAGCGAAAAACTTTTCAACTTCGACAAACGTCATCAGAAAATCTTGACGTTACCGCGAAAAAGTCCATTTCTTTTGTTTGACAATAACACTTAAAAGTTAAGAAATAATGGGGGGAAAACGTAGTGTGAGGTAAAACAACGGCCACTTTCAAAATTTAACTTGCACAACGCTAAAAGCTACCCGCCCATTTTGTTTGACTCTTTTCAGAAACGCAATAATACGAATTTAGAGAGTTCATGCTGTAATTTTATGTTTAACTTTTGCGTTGCGTCCAAGACTCATATTCGGCTATGTTCATGCTAACCCGGGTTACTTTCTTTTCAAAGTTAATTTCAAACTATTAATATAAGTTGTTATTTATTTGACCTCTGACAAAAACTCAATTATCAAAGTATTACAGACCTAGGGCAATTATTTTGTCTTTTAATGACTCGGTGAATTGTAATATTGAATTTATTTTTGTAACCGAAACATGCTAAATATTAATAACTACTACAAAGCGTTAAATGCATTTCTTTCAGATGTCTTCTACTTACAGCTGGTGTACAATACATGTGAATTATAAACTCAATTCAAAAAGGTACCCCTCTCCTAGAAAAAAAATATTACAATTTTACTACTATTTTATGAATTTTAAAGTATCGAAAATAGTGAGCTTTCAAGTTTAAAATTTGCCACATGATTTTTTATTTGATATTTCTTTTTTCCTCTCTACTATTGGATTTAAAATGTACATTTAAAAATGGCTACCAACTTTTTTAGAATTAAAAGACTAATCCAATTTGAAAATAGTAATTTAATAAAATACACAATTTTTTTTAAGCTGAGATCAAGTAAACACGATGGATGAGGTTTTTTTAAGCTATTGCACTCAAGAGGTACTAAATATAAGTAATTAAAAAAAGGTTATCGACTAGTTATTATTTTTAAGCTTTAAGCAATTGATCTAGTTATAATCATCATTTTAAATGTAACCTTAATAATAAACTTAACATTGCCATTGGCCTTTTAATAAAGTCAATCAAGTGATAAGGAAATTAAAGAGATTATAAAAAATAGAATAAATTACATAAAAA